AAGGACACACACAGAGGACACGGGTCGCCTCCTTCTAAGGAGCTTCGGTCACGTGACGTGAATTATCTGAAGATGAGCAAACCAGCCTTCAGAGACAGGTCGGGGACTCTGTTTGTGTCAGTGCGTCTACATTTAGTCTGACAGTAAAGTTTGAACAAACGCGTCCTCCCAGCTGAGAGCTCGTTCACAGCAGCCTGACTTTGCATCTGTACCTGTTTAACTGCTGCTGTGGGGACCCGACTGCTTCCCAGCTCAAACCTGTCAAACACACATTTTAACTCTGCCTGTCCTCAGGCATCACTACCTGCTTAACGTGTCTCCCAGAATCACCTGACTATGCATTGTGTCCTCAAGAACCCATAAGACCATGGCAGATGGCCCCGCCCCTCCCTGAGCCTGGGCGGAGGTTTCTTCCTGTTAAAAGGGAGTTTTTCCTTCCCACTGTCGCCAAAGTGCTGCTCATACGGGGTCATATGATTGTTGGGTTTTTCTCTGCATCTATTATTGTAGGGTCGACCTTACAGTATAAAGCGCCTTGAGGTGACTGTTGTTGTGATTTTGAATTATTGATCATGAGTGTGACAATCACAGAGGAACACACCTGGGGGGAGGGGGGGACTTCCAATCAGAGAAGACATTGACCTCCTAACCCCTGAACACTCCAAGGAAGCTACATTAGAGTGTGTGTGTGTGTGTGTGTGTGTGTGAGACTAACAGCTAATCCAATTACAGAGTATAAAGAGACAGTTGTCACGGTGACTAGAGATAGACAGCTGGGTGGCCTCTGTGTGACCGCCTCTCACATAGAGACAGGAAATGTGCAGCTTTAGTGTGACCTGCACTTCCTGTTAGACTCCCATCTGACCTCAGTTTACTCTCACATGATGCTCTGCAGACAGTAGCTGCGCGCAGAGACTTGAGCTGCTTTTATTTTGAAAGTTTAAGCTAAAAATGTGTGTGTGCAGTGTGAGGCTGCACCACGTGACCTGCCGGCATCTGCTCGGACTCACTCTGACGATAAACGCCGCGCTGACAGAGGCGGGCGCTGTCACTCCTCTGCTCCCCGACATTACGGAGCCCCTGAAAACCTCCTGAAGCTCCACCTTTCTTAATACCGCCTTGTCCTTTATCTGCTGTTTGCACAGACTTCAGAAGAATTCAGACACATTATTAACGCTGCAGGGCATTCACCTGACTCTGTGTGTGTCTGACGCACACAGAGTCAGGTGTGTGTTTGATAGGGTCCAGTGAAGGAAGCAGAGAAGTCGGCCAGAATTCGGTGGAGAGTCACCTGAAGCCAGACAGACGACTCCATGAAGCCAGAGAGTGGACAGAAATGTTACCCACTATTTTAGACTCACGACTCCAAATGCTACGTTTATTATTCACACATGAAAGTGTTTCTGAGATATGACCTCACTTCCTGTTTTACTGCTGCTTTGATCAGCTGTGAGAGATTTGTTTCTAACTGATGAAAAGTGGAAACAATGTTGCTTTGAACTCTGATTCATCAAAATAATCCAGCAGTTCTTCCTCTATAGAAAAGGAGCCACACAAGCCCGCTCTGTTATAACACTGGTGTCACTGTGAGGACAGTAAAGATCTGCTGACCTAAGGTTCAGTCAGAAGTCAGATCATTTACCCGGACACACCTAAGAGCAGACGCACAGCTAGCACACACACACACACAGGTGTGTACTCACAGGTAACTCTCTGTCTTCAGGTCTTGGTGCAGAGCAACAGAAAATCCAAACAGACTTCCTCGTTCGCCCATCTTCAGCAGTGGAAATGACGTGTCGAGGTTGAACGCTGCACACACGCTGATACCCACAACCAGCAACATGCACACACCTGTTGCCATGGAGACACACACCTGAACAGCAGAAAAAAGTCAGAAGTGCGATTGTCAGTAAG